GGTTTTCTCTCCTGGCAAGTACTGTGCTATTAGATGATATTTTCTCTTGTAACTTGAGAAGGGAACACTCAAGGTGATGTTAAATGTCTGCTTTCCATTTGTGAGGTCAGGATTTTCTAATGACCGCAATGAGAACAAAAGAGCCAGTGAACTGCAGTTAGTTGGCCTTGAAAGCAGTACAGATTGATCCAGCTCAAAGTGATTATGTTCCATTAGGTTTTTGTAGAAGAAAAAAACAACCTTGTCGACTATATCTAGTAAAACAAATGAAAAAAATGTCAGCAACTGTGGACAGACATATAACATAGAACCTAGTTTCATTATTTCATGATTTTACAAGATATATTCCAGTGTGATCCATCCTGTGTGTCATATCTGCAGTAAATTGATCCTGAAAAAATTACAGTCAAAATATAATTTCATTATTGCTAGGAACATGTTATTGCCTTTTTGGCAGAATTACTATGTTACTGGTTAGCTATACAATGACTAATATTATTCTGTTACCATGTTATTTGGTTGCTAGAATTGCCATAATCTTAAAGCACAGAAGTCCGGCATAGAATAATTTCATTGACAGTTTCCTCTTTGCCTAGTTACATTTTAGATTGTTAATTTTTTGGTCTCTGGTTTATTTATGAGCTATTTAGTTAGCAGGAACAGATGACCTCACATCTCACAAGTGGACTGTATTTACCTCCATAGCTTTTCCTTATCATTAAGAAAAACACCTCTCTTTTTGTAGGGGATGCAGATGATATAGATAGCTGAGAGGTAAAGAGCATTTCACAAACCAGCCTTTAATTTCTGGAGGCTGCACTTGGCTGAGATTTTTTTTTCCCCTATCTTGCCGAGCCGGTCAAGGGTCTTGTCAAAGAGCAGTGATTTGAGAGGCTCTCTGGTGAAACAGCTGGTGCAGGGATTTGCCGCTTGTTTATCAGTGGGACGCTAAGCTTTCATCAGCTGCAGACAAGGAAGGCGTCGCACGATGGGGGACTGCGTGCACCTCTCCGCGGCTTGTGTGTGAACCTGAGAATAAGGTGAGGCGTATTTTAAAGGCTGCGGGGATCAGAACACCCCCGAGCGGCATCGGTCGGGGCGGGAACGCACGGCGAAATGAGCCGGGCCCCAGGGTCACGCTCGCCACAGATTAGGCTTGACGCACGGGGCTTATCCCATTTGGTGGCTCTCCTCAACTTGTCCAGCATTCTCAGAGTTAACAACAACTGTCAGTCACTGGGAAGCAAAAAAAAAAAAACCCCAAAAGCCACCCTCCCTCTTCCGCTGCTTGCTACCGAAACCCTGTGAAGCCACTGTGTTTATTGTATTAGTGGCCTGCCTGCCCCAGTATTAAACAGCACTCTTGCCACATGGTCTTGGAGCAGATGGGAAAAAGCCTCAGTGATCCACACGGGCCCTGATCGAAGGGCACATGGGCGTAAAGTGGAGGGGCTCTGTGCACCTCCTCTGAGAGCCCAGCCGATGCCGCAGGTGATACGCACTAGCTTTCCCTCGACAACTCACCCGCGACACTCTGTGGGTTCACAAGCCAAGGTGAACGCGTTTTGCTGACGAAAAACAGTGGGGTTTTTTTATTCGAAAACCTGCCAGACAATGTAGGCAGTGTGAAGAGAGACTGAGCGGGACTGTCAATGAGGCCCTCTCTTTCCCAAGAGACTCGCTGAGTCATAAATCATTTTGGAACCCTAGGACATAGCTGGGCTTTCAACGTTTGCAACAGATAAAATGGGTATCTTTGTAAACAAACAGCTGTTTTAATGATCACCTGATGTAATCATAATCTATATACAGTGGTCCCCCCTTATCCGCGGTTTTACTTTCTGTGGTTTCAGTTACCCGTGGTCAACCGCGGTCCGAAAATATTAAAAGGAAAATTCCAGAAATAAACAATTCATAAGTTTTAAATTGCGCGCCGTTCTGCGTAGCGTGATGAAATCTTGCGCCGTCCCACCTGGGACGTGAATCGTCCCTTTGTCCAGTGTATCTACGCTGTATTCGCTACCTGCTACCTGATGTATGTATAGGAAAAAACATCTGCGGTTTCAGGCATCTGCTGGGGATCTTGGAACATATCCCCCATGGATAAGGGGGGACTACTGTACTGATGTAGATTCTGGGCATTATTACGTCAATTACTTTAGTAGTCACCATTAATTGTCATTTGTGTAAATTGTTGTGTAAAGGTATCACCCTCATACATTTGTTACTTAGTAAAGTATGAAAGGTATTCCTACTCAGGTGGAAAAAGGCATAAACCAACACTACATCACCCAGTGCAGAGAGTAGGAGACACACCTGTGCAGTATGCTCAATATCCACACTGTAACTCTGGGAGTATAGGCAGCTGTGTGAATCCTCCACAGAGGTGTCTTCACAACTAAAAGTAAAGAAAAATACTGGGCGATATTCTGTGAAATTCACAGAGGAATCTCATGTGAAATGTGAACATATGGAAAACATCCAGATAACATATCAAACAAGAATCCTGGCCCAAGCCTTATCTTGTGCTGGAGAACTTATTGTCGTTGCAGTGATGTTGGAAGATGCTGTAACAATTACCAAGCAATGACAAAGTAAACTTTTCATGCCGCCAGTACACTGGTCCCCCTTGTTATTCATCATGCTCAGAAAGTAGATATGTCCTCAAAAGTCCTCTGTTAGCTCATGCATTATCCGGGGGCACTGACACGGGAGCCTCGGTTGTGGTAGGTGAACAGCAACGGCAGAGCAGCTCAGTGTCCCTAATGAAGAGGATGTGGACGTCAGCGGATTTGCGGGCGTTTTGTTCTGCAGGCCATGAAACGACTGATGAGCCAGGTCCCCCCGATGGAGGGCTAATTATGCCTTTAATGACCCCCGCGGTTCACGTGGAGCAGAAATAAGGGGCGTGGGCCGATCCTCCGAGGCTGGCCGCACATTGGGTGGAAGGGACGAGGTCATCCCGCTGTCACGAACAGGTGTTTAAATCTCCCAGCAACTAATGAGAACGAGCGACTTGCTGAAGTAGATGGGGAGATTGAAAGCGCGGCTTGGAGAGCAGCTGTAAAGCGTACAGTTGCCCTTCTTCATTAGCGCCAGCTGCATATGTAATAAGCGAGGATCACATCTGCCCGGCTGTACAGATCATAACACATCTCTCAGCCTTTTCCCCGCAGTCATCACAGTGTTTCATATTCATAGGAGCCTTCACCGCAGATTACAGGACAGCAACCATGTTGTTCATAATGAAGATGTTTGGCAGTTACTTGATGGACGCCAAACACTGCACATTTATTTGGTTGACAGTTGATAATGATTAATTACATTTACATTCATTCATTTGGCAGATGGTTTTATCCAAAGCAAAGTGAGGCAGAGTACAACACAAGCGAAATGCCATATAAGGAGTCAACAATATTAGAAGCATAATTACTACTGGTCTACTACTATCCCACACTACACTTTTGTTCTTTTTATGCTGGAAGTTGCTCTGGATAATTGTAATGTAATTACACTTTTAATATTTAAAATAAAATTGCCATTCTCAAATGTCTTACAGCCAAAGTGGTTCAGTGAAAACTGAAATGTAGTACGATAAATTAGCAACAGATTCCCCAGGTCTGCTGGACGTCACACGGCGCCTGTGTGACTGATGGGTTGTCTCATGTTAAATTGCTCTTGACCATCTGCGGTAATGAATACATAATCGCCCGGCTTGTCCTGTGTTTATTTCCCCCCTCTACAAAGGGAGCTAATGAGGTTCGTATAGACGGGCTGCCTTGGTGACCCAGGCCAACAGGCCGTACCCTGCAGCTCATTGACACGGACGTGTGATGTATGCACAGCGAATGTGGCGTGGGCACCTGCTGACCCCTGTGCTAATGCTCCTTCTGGAGACGTGCACTCCGCTCCTGATTTCATACGGGACACGAGCAGATGCGCCGCAGTCATCTCCTCCTATCCCCACCCCCCCGTACACAATGTTTATTTATTCCGTTGCAAATGCTCTTATGTGAGATGACCATGGCAGTTCTGCATGGAAGGGATTAGCCTTCAGACCCTCCACCCAGAACGGTTAGGGGGTGTGGCCTCTATAATCAAAGAAACATCTAAGAGATGCTGCCCTGTGACTTATTTAAATGGCCCTCTATGTTGCTGTAAAACAATCATATTATTTATGCTTTTTCGCTGAATGGAAGAGTGTGTAGGTCGCTGATGACAACCATTAAGTGAATTATTGATGCAGTTTGCAGGGCAATCCGAGAAATCACTTTTTCATTGAGCGTGCTGTCATTTAACCTTTACAGTAGCAACAACCCGGTGTTAAGCAGCCCTGATGAATTACCAGTCAGTAATAATGCTGGTGGATGTTGTGCGCCCATTATCTCACCTAATTCAGCTTATTCAGATTCGCATCTCAGTATGTGTCAGAGGTTAGGTTGTGCGCAGGATTGGGGGTGGAGGTTGGCGATCCACTGAGAACAAATGGAATGTGGGTGTCATAATGGACATCTTCTGTGACAACCAATCAGCAAAGAGTCTGAAGAGATCAGAAGCCACAGCATGGTGGTAAGGAGAATGCTGTGGGTGTTATTCACCACAAGAGTGAAACCATGCATCTCTGTGGAATCCATCTTCACAGCGGTCATCTGAAACCACAAGGGAAATTTTTGTGACAAAAAAACAAAACTTTTGTAATCAGACATGAAAACATCTCACAGGTTCTGAGCCCCCGTATTGAATACCCATAGACCAGAACTATTAAAATACAGTTACCTGTGTGGGACAGTGTACATTTTTCAGTGCCACCCCAGCAAGGGAAAATTTTGGTAAACTCAGAGGGCAAAGGACCTTAGCAGAAATAGTAAGTTACATCACATTGGCATTTAGCAGACACTCTTATCCAGACCAACTTACATAGGATTTTATCCATGTATACAGCTGGATATTTACTGAGGCAGTTCTGGGTTAAGTATCTTTGCCCAAGGGTACAGCGCCAGTGTCATAGCCGGGAATTGAACCAGCAACCTTTCAGTTGTGAGCCCTGCTCCTTACCACTATGCTACATTGCCACCCCTTACTGAAGTAAAACATGGTATACTGTATAAGATGCTAGCTGTATCTCTTAATGGTAGCAATATTTATTTTTAAATCACCTTAGTTTATGAAAATTCATTTAAAGTTCAAGGTTCAAAGTAAGTGACCTCTATGTGCCATCACTACGGTTGAGTATGCGCTCTGACTGCCATGCCAATGAGCCTGGCTCTTTGGTGTTGCGGTCAAGCTGCAGGTTTGGCACCCCATAGACTGGGGTTTGAGGCCAGGTGGAGTGACTGCTCTTGCCTTTTGCTACACTCTAGATGCACTAATGTATTGTAAAACAAATGCTTTCTGTGCAAGCACTCAAACACAGGATATGCAGCAAAGCTCTGTACACATCACAACCATTGAAGTATACTTGCAAGATAAAGATTTTTATAAAAAGATGACAGTAATAAATTTGGAGTGTCAGTGGCTCAACCTTTCGACCTGTTTTCATTTCAGTAATTACATGGTAATGGTACAGACTTACATTTTAATGCATGTGATGTATGATGAGCAACCTCTCATTTTATTCTATTGCAGCTATTCTTTCGTTCATCTCTGTCAATAGTTATTTCAGTCGTTTAACAGAATTGTGGTCATTACCTCGGGTTCAGATCAATATTGAGATTGCTTTGCAGTTACGTCTCTAAATCTGCAGCGGTGCCACTCTTCAGAAACCTGCAATTACATAGCGTACTGAAATAAACTGATATTGACATATTGATACACTTCTAGATAACAGAGACTACCAAAAGTAAGTGCAGTCAGGACTCTGTGGGTACTTTAAAAAAACTGTGCATAGGGATTTCAGTTCCAGGATAACAAGATGATCTCCTTAATCCAATACAGGCTTTATTTAACTTCTTATTAAATTTAAATTTGGTACTTAGTCCTACAAAGTTTGTACTGAACCGTTTTTTGAATGCCTGCCACTCAATGTACAGTTTCAGGTCACAATGAACACTCATTAATGGTCATAAATAATTGGGTGAAGGTAAGCAGACTCCATGATGTTCACCAGATAAAATCTGATCATACACTGAAGACAGCATTGTAGTGGGTAGCAATCATCTAATTGTAGATGCATCTAAGCATCCTAGTACTTGTGCTTTAATGTGAAAAAGCTCATCTGTGCATTGTCCAAACAAAGTAAACCATAAAAATCATTTGGAACAGTCAACTGGTCATGTAATATTTCAGAGGTCCACTGGTACAGTATGTGTTCTGCAGATATAATATGTTTTCAATTAGCGTTATTTCTGTTTATTAATTGTGCTGTTTACTCAATAAACCAGGCTCTGTTGGGTGACTAATGAAATGTGTGATTCCCTTTTAATTGAAAATGGATAATGTTTATCCACTGGTGTCACATAATAAAGTGGAATGCATACTGTATACAAGATAGTAAACCAACAAACATCTGTGGGCTGATGACACTGGCTTTAAGAATGTAATCTTTTGGTGGTCACATGACCCTGTGTTGTATGTGGGTGTTCCTTAAAAACTGGAACATTGGGTGATATCATTTAATATGGACAGTGCTAACATCTTATTAGCAGCACAGCAGCATCTACTGCAGACTGCAAATTGGATTTGGGTTTGGACAGGGATATTATCATTGATACAGCCAGGTTCCATTAAAAAAAAATTAATAGGTTCCTGTGTTCTGGGCCCAGCGGAAGTGCTTAATTGGCTGCTTTGTTACTTTCTCCTCCTCTATTAAAAATGTTGTTTAAATTATATCCCAACTCTGTCAAAGAATGACATAACACTGCATTTTATTCTGAGGTTGATGCGATTTAAGACGTTGAATTGCACAGAGACTTCAATGACCTTCAGTCACAGCTGAATAACTATTATCCAGATAAATTAAAGTCTCTTCTGACTCATTTCAAGCAAACACATTTAAAATATAGACATTCTGCCTTTCGTTTAACCCCTGTAACCTCAGCTCCTAACCAAAAAAAAAAATTGGAGAATTCATCTTTTCCCAGACATTTGACCTACTTGAGTAGATGGACGAAGGTAGAATATGCTTAATTCAATTGAGCTAGGCATGCAAATGTAAGAAATGAAAGCTTGCCCCACCTGTATAGCTGGGCAGAGACATTATTATAAATCTTCGGTTTCTGACGCAATGTTTATGCAATAACCAGAATCATTACAGAGATCCACAGATGCACAGGTGCAGTTTCTGGTCTAAATCAAGTTACTCTAACAGTCAAAGCCTTTATTCACCTTAAGCAGATTATAAATCAGAAGAAGAGGAGCAAAAATAGTTAACTATTCCTGTTCCTTTTAGGAAATGCAGTACAGTAGTATCTCATTTTCATTCATTGGCATGAGATTGAAAGTAATGCTTGTAATTCGAATCCTATTACAGGTTAAACACAGAGTAAATGATGTCCAGTCCTTGTAAAATGAATGGAAGGCCTTGCAGTTCTGACTTTAGAATACCACTCTGCTGGCTCCCAAGTGGCTCAGCTGGTTAAAGTATTTGTTTGTGGGTTGTTACTCCGGTTTGACTCTGAGATACCAGTGACAAATGACAATACCCAGGAGTCCATGCCACAGAAAACAATTTGCTCCCATTAGTGTGCAATTGCATCATTGCTGTGGCACACCTCACGAGGCGCCTGTGAGTCAATGGGGATGTACCTGTCTTTCCCCTGCACGATGTTCCCCTCATTGTAGTGCACTGTCGTACTTGTGCGAAAAATATCCGTCCGGTGCGTATTAGCATTTCAGAACTCATTTCAGTGTAACTTCAGTGCTCCTTTGTGAGCACAGACAAATGAGCTTAGTTTACTACAATGACCAATTATGGATTGTGTGAAAAAGTGGGGATAAAGTATAAAAGGAAATACTTTACATCAACCACTGTGACCTTTCTAATTGATCCATACTTGTATGAATTACTGCAGAATAGCGGTATTCAAAGTCTGTGCACGCATTGCGGTGGTTGAAAAGTCATCCTGGCTTCAAATAGTAAGGAGCCTTACCCTATGGATTGCTGCAAAAATGAATCAAACTGCATGGCAGCTGTCAGTTTTAATGATTGCAAAACAATGTTTAATCAATGTTTTGCTGTGAAATCCAATAATGGTTAAAGGTGTTGAAAGAGCAGGACGATGTAGAATGTTTGTATTACAGAAATAGAGAAAATAGAGTAGAACTTCTTGAAGTCTTGAAATAAGAAGACAACCATTTTCATCATTCAAAGCTTTTGGGTCGATAATGGGGAATAGTATGATTACAACATTCATCGCAAACACACAGAAGAACCGTAAGCATTTTTTTTCAGTTATTCCGTGGAGCGTTGATGTGACAATTATGACTGACATTTCCAGGCTTACAAATGGTTTCAGATGTGATTCGCCATTGTAATATGAATTATAGTAAGATTGTCTCTGTCATGGATAGGGTACCGAGCTTGAAACCATATGTTTGTTAGATCTAATCCCATATACAATAACATATTTTTTACCTCCATACAAAGCAACCTAAATTGAAGTCTTTGACTAAGCACCCAGTCATTTAAATGGGTCACCCAGGGTAAGCATAAAAAGCATGAAAATTACCCCCATATGCAGAAGATGTGAAACATCATGTTCCCTCCAGCGTACCTGAGTTACTATGCTGTAAGCTGTAAAGCTCTTCAGCCATTCTAGCTGATATTTATAATGAAAGAGGCCTTCTTGCTGTTTACTCTATCGTGGAAGCATCCCTTGGATTAAGTAAAAGGTCAGCGCTACCCTTTCACTTTAATTCATTTTAGCCACTGTGTACGCTTTTGTGGAAATCACTGAAATGAAATCAGAATATGGGACCTTCTCCCATTTTCACATGTATTGCTCAGCTGTACAATCACAGGAAAACTTTGCAATGGTAAAGCCTTTATTTGATACTGCATTTCAGATTGATGGCTAAATGGCAATGCCAATCCCTTGGACAGTTGATCCATCAGAAAATAGAGAAAATATCTAAGAGGTCATTTGAAATATTGTATTGTTTCTAAAGTGAGCGTTACTATGTTGGAAATGTAATGAGGTTCTAGATTTGCTCCTAATGTTATTTCAGGTTTTCTCCTCCCAAACGCCATTTAACCTGCATTTTTAGCACCTACTGATTCTGTGGGGTTTTTATGGTCTATATCCTAGCCATTCCTCATTTTGATCTGTGGAAAGAAAAGAATACGCTCATACTCCTCCCCAAGTGTCATTTGTATTGTGTGTTTTTACAGTCCTGTCATGGAGAGGTCAGCCCTAGCTATTGAACTTAAGCCTCCCTGAAGTGGCTTTACATCATTTGCAGCATGCAGTATGCAGTATGCACACTATAGTAGCACATAGTGGACTGTGTAATGTTTATGGTATCAGAAAAGCTGTTTTGGATCCTGGAGCAGGCTGGACACTGTGGAGTTGTCTGCTTTTGCGGTGACTAGATTGTCCCAACACCCTCTTGTAATAGCACACCTAATGAGGATTTAAGCCTCTGTGCTGCTCAGGGGAACTACGTCACTGAGTCCGCTTTATCTTCAATCGTTCTTTTACACAAAAATGCCAACGCCCAATAATACACGCACCCCCCAATCCGCAGTTGGTTAAACAAACCCTCTCTTCGGTATCATAAGCTTTCTCTGTGTCAAAGAACACAGCCATTAACACTGCTGCGTTTGCCAAGACCTTCTTAATATCCGTCACCAGCCCAAGCAGGAGGTCAAATGTCAATCCACCTCTTTGCAATCCACTCTGATGAGTTGAAAGCCCCTGTTCTCTAGGAGGTAATTCAGCCTTTAGACAGTCATTCGTTCCGTCAGTTTAAACAGTGTGGAGTGATTGTTCTCTGGTTCTAGTGTAGGTATTACTAAAGCATAAGTACATCCCCATGGATGTACTCCGAATGTCATTGTAGAGACAAAACCACCAGACCAACCATTAGGCAGGTGCTGGAGCTTGTCACAGCACACCAGGTAGTAGATTTTACA